CCAGGGCTTTACCAGCACAACCCTGAAATATGAATCTGATGGTGCTGTTCTAATCGTAGAACCAAGATTTACCATGAGGCCTGGTGTCTCCTGTTGGGATTTATTTTAACAAGAACTTCAAGCCTTTGTTGGGAATGGAGTTTGCAAAGATAGTCTGGTCATCTGGAGAGTCCAGAATGTGGCCACTGAATGGCCTTCCACTTTGTACTGCTCAACTGAGGATGGTGAGGAGCAACTGGAAGGAGGCGGGGCTGGGTAGACCGCATTTTCCACAGGATAATGTGGCTTGGCTTAAACACCCCTCCATGAGATGCCCCTGCTCCCATCTTGGTGTCCTCTACCTGGCCTCATGTACCACATGATGGTAGTATTTGCAATCCCTTTGCCTTCAGGTAAGAAATGAGGGCCCATTCACCCCTCAGCTTGCCAATTCCTTGCTTGGCCTACAGCCCCAAGAACCTAGACAAAGCTGTGCAGGTATCCTTCCTACACTTGCCTCTTCCTGCACACAGAAGTACTTAAGTTAGTACTATCCACCTTGGGACTCTGTGTGAATCCTGTTAGAGACCTGCCTCTAGTTGGGCCCTGGTGAGCTTTCAGATTACCATAACTCCTGGGGGTACATTACTTTTTGGCTCCAGTCTGTCAGTAGCTCAGGAGCCTTCAGGGTTTTATGAGGTGCTCTTGGAGTCTCCACAGATGGATGGCCTTGTAGTCTGACTTCATGTAGCCTGGAGGCATTGACAGGTGAGCGCTCACTGTACCTCCAATCTCCCAGAGTTTCCTAGAGCCAGAAAGACTCTAGCATAAAAGTAGAGGGAGGAGTAGTCACTGCTTCTGATGGGTGCCACTTGCCATTTCTGGTGCTTGACAGTGCTGGACCTGGTGTTTTCTGCCTGGCTTGTTTCTCTTCCTCAGACTCACAGTGAGGTGAGCCCCAGGTGTCATGGGTTTGCCTAGCAGAAGTTGTGAGCAATACAGGCTGTGGTCTCATGATGAGGGAGGGCCTTTCTGCTTCCCTGGTTCTTGTGATGTAGGTCCGTGCCTGATATTAAGTATATGCTTCCTGTTACCATGGCGAAATGCCTTAGCACAATCAATTTAATGTTTTGGTGGTGGTGATGGTGGTGTTTGTTTTTGTTTTTGTTTTGCTTGTCATACATTGATTGAAGTGGGGGCATGGCAGCCAAGAAGGGGGATATAGGACAAAGAACCTCAGGTCTCCTTAGGCCATGCACCCAGTGGCCTGGGCTCTTTCTTATGGCTCCATTCATAAATATTCATGTTTCATCTGGGCCTGTGGTGGTTCCTTGCCCCATCTTTGTATGACCACCACAGAGATGCTACCTGCTTCCCTGGTGCTCCTGCTGGCCACTACAAATAGGCCTCCCCATGGGCATTTGAGCCACTGTGTGCAGGCAGGTATTACCACAATGGGTGCCCAGAAATGCAAATAATAGAATGGACAGGGCCTGTGACTGATAAGGAAAGAAGGGGGAGGCACACTTGGCCACACTGCTTGCTAAGGAAATACAAATTGATCTGTGCCTATCCATCTGATGAACAAGTGCATAGCTCAAGGCCTGGTACCTGAGCTCTCCTGTGGTAGAGCTTTAGCAGAAAGTTTGGGCATATTTGGACATTGGGAATGAGTCACAAAGGACAAAGAACCAGGCTATTCCTAACAGCAGCTATAAATGACCCTCAGGCCTTCAACATGTGCTCTGTGAGCAACATATCTACCCTGAAGCTGTCCTTCGAGGCACTGCCACAGGTTCCCCAAGCAGAGTCAGAACAGTACCTGTGAGATGAGTGGATGAGTGTTGACACACAGATACATGGAACAACCAAGATAACACCGGTGGTCTGTTATGGTGGTAGCAGTGGATTAGCCCTGACAGCCTTGTCCTAATAGCAGAACACCTGAGCCTGCCTGCCCACATCACTTCTTCCAGCTCATCCTTCACTGCTTTCTACCTAGGCAGGTTAGCTAGCCTGCCCTGGCCACTGCTGTGATGCATGATCACTTGACTGACTCCAAAGTGTGGCCCCCGCAGTGTGGGCCTTACAGGTGTGGCAGGTGGTTCCTCGGGTGAGTGACCTGCAGCTGCAAGGGGACACAGAGGATATGGCGTTTTCTTCAGGGCCTTCTGGAAGCCCACACTGATAAGGGGGCCCCTCAGTCAGGGTAGAACCATGGGACACTGAGCACCTAGGCAAAGACCCCTTAAACTCAATCTGTGCAGCCCATAGTAGACACTTTGACTGCACAGCTGAGCATTTCTGATGCACCAACCCAACACCTGGTTCCCCAGGTGTTCTGTCCCCTTCTCCTGTCTGAGAGCAGGATGGTATCTGCCCAAGGACAAGGACTCTCTGTGCTGCCAGGCTACTGGGTCTTGGGCAGAGTCCTCTCTGCAAGGACTGCTGATCAGGACTATATGGGAACGTAGGGCTCTAAATATACCAGGGTGAGGTCATTGGGTGGAGATGAAGCCATGGAATAAGCTCTGGAACCCGGTGGTACTGGGATCCCAGGCCAAGGAACACTGACTTTGCCTTCCCTTGGGAATGACCTCCTCATAGCACACTCTTTGCATGGAATCCCTCCCTATCTCATGTCAGAGTATAGGAGCCATGTCTGTAGACAGGCCAGCCACCCCTGGAGCAACAGAGCCAGTGTCATAACAGCCATCAGGATGTGTTACAGACCTAGTCTCAGACAAAATTGGAGGCCTTTGTTCCCCAATGAGGGGACTAGCTTGTCCGGATATCTTGTGAAAGACTGTGGAGCAGCGTAAAGGGCTGCTGTCTGCTCTGAGCTCCCTACAGTTTCTCTCCCAGGAGTCAGAGCCCTGAGGAAAGGAGGCATAATGACTGCCTTCAGCTAGAAATAGGCAGACTAGAAAAGCTGGGGAATCCTGGGTCCTACAGATTGTCTGCCTCCTGGTCTAGGGACCAACCTGGTACCTCACCTAGCAGACATGACTAAGGCGTGGACTGGAGACAGGAACAATTCTGGGTTACCCATGTGAGTCAGAACTAATGTGAGTAGGATTCCCGGGACTGGTATTGAAGGTGGAGGGAGGGCTCGGGAGCCCAGGGACATGGTATCCGTGAAGCTAGGAACAACCTTTAGGTGACATCAAGTAAGAAAATAGGGATCCTGACCTGTATGAGTAGGGAATGGATCCTCCCCAAGAGTCTTCAGGAAGGAGGAAGTTCACTGTCCCAGGCTATGGGTGGGCAAGATAATCAAAACATTCTGGGTAGTAGCCAGCAATTGGTCAGCAACAGAAGACTGACACTACTGACCTGCAGGTTATCTTCTGGTCACTGGGTTGTTTGTAGTGTGCCAAGTAGAACAGCCTCCTGGGAGCTAGCTGACACCCCTCCCCCAAATGCTGGAGTCGCTGCTTGGCACCCAGAAACAGTCTACAGGGGAGTGGACTGCAGACCCACTTACAATGGCAAGAAAAGGCCTAAGTGACCCTTGGCAATAATATGAGACTGTGTAGAGAGGGTCATGCATGCCTGTGTGTGACATTCAGCGACTGGCCTGGCCTAATGAGTGCGTACCTGGTTCTACCTGGGGATGTGCATTTTTCCTTGTGACCTGGTGTGCCAGGTGTATGCTGTCGGTGAAGAGGGCTTAGGGCTGTGGCCAGCCAGCTTGGCTACCAAGAACCTGCAGTGCCATGGCACTACCACCCTGTGGGGTTCTTCAGTCTGCAGGTGGATTGATTACCTACCAGGTAGGTAGGTATGTGTCTTGAGAAGTGTTTAAACAGAGAAACTCTTCATTTTGATAGGTTCAGTTTGTTAGTAGTTTTCTTTGACAGTTGGTGCTCAGGAGCACCTATCATCCCACAGTTGCAGATACTCTCCTGCACTTTTTAGAACTTGGTTTTAGCTTGCCATTTAGGTTTGGAGTTCACTGAATTTTCCATATGCATGTGTGTGGAGCACATGTGCACACATGCATAAGGAGACCCAGGTTAGTGCTGGGAATCATCACTCACTCCTCCACCTGTTCATTGAGACACATCTCTGAATCAAACCTGGAGCTCGCCAACACAGCTAGTCTTACTAGCCAGTTTGCTCTAGGGACCCCATCTTTTCCTTCCAAAGCTGGAATTGCAGGTGGGCTGTCCTGCCACTTGGCAGGTCCATGGGTTATGACTCTTATGTGTCACAGCAAGTTCAAGTGCCACTCTGACCATCTCAGCCCATGTGTCATCGATGCTTTGTCGTATTTGCTGGTTGGTGTCTGCTTTCTGAAATAGCCCTCCTGGGTACACAAAAGCTATCCCCACTTACTGTATTTGTCAGTGTGGCTGTGCTGCTGGGATGTCCAGTCATATCAGTCATAGCTTTTTGGTCCTACCGTCTCTGGAATGACAGCCCTGGCACCTTCCCTGTGAGCCTTCCATGTTTGAACAAGTCAGTGATGTATGGAAGGGCAGGCCCTTCTTGAGTGGGATCCCAAATATGAGCCTGTGAATTGTTAACCTCCCTGTTGCGGTGAAGCTCAGTGCTAGTGCTAACCCTGCCTGTTCCACACAGAGCCTCTCAGTGTCTCTGGCCTTCTTTCATGTTCTTAAGGCTGCATTGCTGCTCAGGTGTTGTGCTCCAGAGTCCCTCCTTCTGGCCATGTGACATACATCTTATAGTCTGTGACATCCTGCTTTATTCAGAGACTCTCTCTGAAGACCTTGAGAAGGTCATCAGGTTGACTAGTTTATTGTGATCATCTTGCTTTGTGTGTTATATGTGGTAATTCCTCCAGTCATTGTCCAGAAGTCTCACAGCAAAGCTGTCTGTCAGACCAGGGGCAGGTCTCTTTTCATGGCAGTGGGTGGGTGAGTGTGTGCATATGGGAGATGGTAAGCAGGGTTTTGATGGTGCCCAGTGCTGTCACCTTGGAAAGCCCTGGGCTGCTGGGCTTTCAGTGGGAGAGGGCAGAGCCCTGAGCTGATAATGTGGTTCTTGTTCTTCAGATCCGGAACATGGTTGCAGTATTGGAAGTGATCTCCAGTCTGGAGAGATACCCCATCACCAAAGAGGCACTAGAGGTAAGAGCCCTGGCCCAGCCTTGGGCAGAATGGGAGATGAGGGTAGCCCCCAGCCACCTTCTTCCTGTGGCTTAGGCTCTTGGAGTCCTTCAGGGGACCCAGTGGGCAGTGTATCCAGAACATCAGCCTTCCCACAGAACTCTTCAAGAACGAAGGTTTCTGATTTCACTGCTGGGCTCCTTCCCATACCCTGCACACCTCATACCATTTCCGGGACATGGCCTGAACTGTGCTTTATTTAGGCAACTAGTTAGTGGCCCTGTCCTTTATTTGAGGATCTTAGGCTGTGAAATGTGCTCACCCAGACACCCTGGCAGAGCAGCTGTGTGGCCGTGAAGGCACAGACTCTACAAGTTCCAGGAGCCAGTGAACCTGTTTCTGAGGAAGCCCCCTGGGTCCCCAAACTAAGGATTCATGCTGCTACATAGTGCTGGACACACCCAAGCTATATCCAAGAAGCTGGCAGTTTGGGGGCAAGTAGGGAAAAGGTAAACCAGGAAGGGTAAGCTTACCGGCTTAGCTTCCTTGTCCTGCTAGCTATGTCCTTATTCTATAAGCATGTATCACTCTCTTGGTTGTAGGAGACACGACTGGGGAAGCTAATCAATGATGTCCGCAAGAAAACTAAGAATGAGGAGCTGGCCAAGCGGGCCAAGAGGCTTCTGCGGAGCTGGCAGAAGCTCATTGAGCCTGTACACCAGAATGAGGTGGCACTACGGGCACTGGCAGGAGCTGCAGGCTCTGCCAACGGGGGCGCACACAACTGCCGGCCGGAGGTGGGAGTGGCCAGCACACCCAAGAGCATCCACGACCTGAAGAATCGCAACGACATCCAGAGGCTCCCTGGGCAGCGACTAGACAGACTGGGTAGCCGTAAGCGCAGGGGGGACCAGCGTGATCTGGGCCACCCGGGGCCACCCTACAAAGTTTCCAAATCTAGTCCTGACCCACTAGTCCCCAATGCATCCCCTCTTCCCACTAACGGGATCAGTGGGAGCCCAGAGAGCTTACCCAGCCCTCTGGATGGTAGTGGGCACATGGGCTCTGATGGCAGCCGCCTGGAGCCCAGCGAGAACGAGAAGCACAGCACCAAGATCCCTGTGAATGCCGTGCGGCCGCGCCCCAGCTCCCCTGGCCTGGGCAAGCCCCCCATGCCCTGCCTGCAAACCAAGACTGCGCAGTTGCAGCATCTGGACAGGGCGGATGAGCCGCCAGGCCCTCCCCATCCCAGGGGGGCCTCTCGTTGCTCCTTCAGCCCCCGGAACTCACGGCACGAAGGCTCCTTTTCCCGGCAGCGGAGCTCGTACACAACGAAGGGCCCCATGTCCAGCCCCTCCTCACGTCCCCAACCACTGGACACCATACAGGTGCCCTCCCCACTCCCACTGGCCCAGCCATCCACACCCCCTGTGCGGCGGATGGAGCTGCTGTCCAGCGCTGAGAGCCCTGTACACTGGCCAGAGCAGCCCGAGGGCCACCCGCGGCTAACAGGGCCATCCTGCAGGGTTGGGTTGTCGCCAGACTCCTCCAAGGCGGACAGTGATGCTGCCTCTTCGGGTGGCTCGGACAGCAAAAAGAAAAAGAGGTACCGACCTCGAGACTACACGGTGAACTTAGATGGGCAGGTGCCTGAGGCAGGCGTCAAACCTGTGCGGTTAAAAGAGCGGAAGCTCACCTTTGACCCCATGACGAGACAGATCAAACCTCTGACCCAGAAAGAGCCGGTGCGGGCTGACAGCCCCGTACCCACAGAGCAGCCACCTAGGACAGAACTGGACCAGCAGGAGGCCAAAGCCAGTCTCCAGAGTCCTTTTGAGCAGACGAACTGGAAGGAGCTGTCACGCAACGAGATCATCCAGTCCTACTTGAGCCACCAGAGCAGCTTGTTGTCATCGTCTGGTGCGCAGACCCCAGGCGCGCACCACTTTATGGCCGAGTACCTGAAGCAGGAGGAGAGCAGTCGGCGAGGAGCCCGCCAGCCCCATGTGCTGCTGCCGCTGCCCATGCCTACTGACCTCCCGGGGCTCACTCGGGAAGTCATGCAGGACGATCTGGACAGAATCCAGGCCCAACAGTGGCCAGGGGTAAACGGGTGTGAGGACACACAGGGTAATTGGTATGACTGGACGCAGTGCATATCGCTCGACCCACATGGCGACGATGGGCGCTTGAACATTCTGCCTTATGTCTGCTTGGACTGAGCACTTGGCCTGGTCATCAAGTGCATTCTCACCTTGCAGGGGCTAGGCTGGCCAGCCGGGAGGTCGGGCATGAGGCTCGCTCTCCACCCTCCTTTTGTGAAATGCTGCTATCAGTTTACTAACGATTGCAAAGGAAGGGCCGCTCAGAGGGCAGACGGCAGAGGGAGTTCAGAACTCTATAGCAAGCCAGCTATAAAGCGTTAGTCCCCCACCCCAGAAGAGGTGCAAAGTACCGAAGGTGGGGACCTCAGTGGCAGGCAGGCACAGGAACCCTGTGGGAGAGGTTACCTTAATAGCAACAGACGCACATCTCATCTCTGCATCTCCTGCTCTTTGGCTCTGGTGTCTCTGAGGTACAGGCCACTTCTCTGGCCTCTGTCTAGCCAGTGTTTTCTTTCCTTCGTGTTGTGCGCTAGAAGCTTCTCTGCTGTGGTAAGCCCTGGCATTGGGCGGGTGGGCCAGCTTCACCCACACTGCACAGATGCCCACCCATTTGTATATGGTTTCAGTTCAACCCCAGTTCTTAAAGAAATGCTGCAGAAACTTCAATTTTCTCATTTATTTCATCCTCTTTTCCACCTGACCACCAGCCAAATGACTTTTCCTTTCTTCTCTTTTCCTCTTCACATCTCTAGAAATGCCATCTTTCTAGAGCCCTCAACCCACAAAGTTCCCGAGGGTGCTACTGGCATGAGTTGCCCTGCTGTTGCCCTGCTGGGCGAGGGGAGAGCCGTCTGTTCGCTGGAAACACTCATAACCATTCCTTTAGATTCGTTTGCCTTATGGTTGTCATAAACGCGATTTGCAAAAACAAAGAGCCTTAGTGAATGTACAGTACCTAGACTTCTGCGTCTGCGCAGAAGGGAGCAACTTTGCTATTTGGTCCAGTAAGTGGACACCTTGTGATATAAATGTGGAAATAAAAAAAAAAACATTTGCACAAACCAGTTTTTGAGTCATTTCTCATTTTACACTTGTACTTGGTCTTTTCCTGGAGCCCATAGCCACACCACTGTGCCCAGTCTTGGTGGCATCCCATTAGCTTGCTTCTGTGGCAGCAGGCAGGGCCTTCCTACCTGCCTTTCATTCATTTAGGGTCAACGACATCATCCACCCAGAGAAGCCCCCTTCTGCAGGCTGTGTAGCTGATGACACCTTCCCTGCCCACCAGTATTTTGTGACATGGCAAGGCCCTGAGCAGCACTCCGGCTGAGTGCATAGAACTGTCTAGTTTTCTCCTCTCCCCGAAATCAATAAGCCAGGATTGGGTTTCCGGTTTTTTTTTTCCCCACTGAGATAGATAATCTGTTTAATTTCATAGACGAGCAGTTAGTTACCCATAAAACAGCTGCATGGGGTCAAGTTCTAGAACATTTCCTTCTGATTTTAGGACCACAGCCAACCCAGAATCACAGGTTTTTGGTTTTCTGTTTGTTTGTTTGTTTTGGCTTTTTTTGTTTTGTTTTTTTGTTTTGAGAGCCAGTACAGATTTCCAAGGCTTGGTGCAGGATGGTACCACTCCCATTAAAGGCCCTTTTGAGGAGGTGGAACCCAGCTGTGTGGCCCTGGGCCCCTGGACCAGTGTTCACTCGTGAGCGAATGTTCCTATTGTGAGATGAAAAGGCCTTCACAAAGTTGCCAGGGTCAAATCCAATAGGAGATAAAAGCAACCAAAACCCAGGTGGTGACGAAAGGCTGTGTACCCAGCTGGAGGGCATTAGGGTACGTACGTACAGAGGCTGGCGTCCTGTCACCGGCTTATTGTCTCAGACCCGGGCTTTGAAAACAGGTCCTTACTACTCGGATCCCAACGCGCAGAGACTGCCACACCTGTGTTGAGTGTCCAGCAAACCCCAAGGGGGTACACATGCGCTACCTCGAGAACAGGGATGAGCTACAAACACACCCCCGGCACTTGGGCTGCCGTTTTCTAAACTGCTAATAAAGACACTGTAAAGGAGAAAGTCGAGGTCGGTGAGGTGGCTAAGCGGATACACGCTTGCTGTGAAGCCAGAGGACATGAGTTCTGTCCCCGAACACACCTGGTGGAAGGAGACAACAGACTCAAGTCCTCCTCTGACCCCACCCTCTCACATACATGAGTCCTCTCACACACTCAAGTCCTCCTCTGACCCCACCCTCTCACACACATAAGGGACCGGAACAACTCCCACAGTCACTTGAAAGCACACGATCTTCGAATCGAGTTTTGTCGCTAGTACGACGACGCTGAAGTCTTGTCCTGCCTCGGGGCTCTCGCCAGCAGTCTTCAGCCCGGTCAGAGGGCTCTGCAGACAAGTGTCGCAGGAAACGCCCCGCCTGGGTTGTCAGGGGAAGGTGACACCTACCACACAGCTTCTGAGGACCGGCGTCCTCCAGAGGCTTGGCTGCAATCGGCGTCTTTTCTCCAGAAAGATCTTTTGTTAATCCTGTTCGCGCCCTAGGCATCCCGCTTTACCAGCCACAAGTGGGCGGACACGCGTCGCCCCGCCAGTCACGGGAGCGCGCAGCGCTCCGCGCACGCGCGGCGCCCACGGCGCGCCTTCCGGAAACCTTCCAAGTGGGGTGGGGCCCTCGTCGGAGACGTGGTTGCGGACGCGTCGGCGGGCTGGCGGTGATGACGCGAGGGAGGCAGCCAATGGCGAGCGGCGATGACGCGCAGGCCCGGAAGCCAAT